AACAAGAGCATGATTGCGAGTGTCATTGATTTATACAACAGTTCAATAAACAATTGTTCACACTCAGCCAATAAATCTGTTCACTGTTGATTGCTGAGCTGCTTTATATTAATGACAGTTTAAATTGAGTCTGTGTGCTTGTTTACAGATGTAAGAACCATTTCAAACATAAACCAGAGGCTCATTGCTGGTGTGTGTGTGTGTGTGTGTGTGTGTGTGTTTGACAGTGGCTCCAACCAACATCTTTATCCACAGTCATGATGCAGTCAGTCAACTGACCAATGAAGTCAGAGCATTAAAGGAGGAAAATCTGGCACTCCAGTCAAGGTTACAAGCCAGCAGAGGTACACACACACACACACACATACTCACTCAGTCACACACACACATACATACTCACTCAGTCACACACACACACATACATACTCACTCAGTCACACACATACATACTCACTCACTCACTAGCTGAAAAATGACTCTTTGTTGTTGTCTTCTTGCATTATTGACAAACTATGTTCCTGTTTAACACTGTAAAGCTGCTTTGACACAATCAGTACTGTATAAAGCGCTATAGAAATAAAGGTGACCTGACCAGACTATTATAATAACTCTGACGATATCAAATACGAGTGCAACAGGTAGACAGGTGAATGAATTGATGAATGGGTCACGCTTACTGTTGTGCCTCCAGGAACAGGGTTGTGAAACACTAGACTAGATAACCTATAACAGCTGATGGAGAGCATTATAGTTTAGCTCTTCTTTTACTCAGCCCATCAATCTATAGACCACATAGACATCATTTGTGGACAACACTGGCAAATATAAGTGCAACAAATCACATGCATTTAATGCCTCTGCTAAAAGTGGATATGTATTTCAGCAAAATGTACACATTAATTCACATTAATCTTACAGTCTTGTGTATTTTCAAAATGATCATCACTGTGTGTAGGACCCTCGAGAGTTAATAATTTGACATTTGTTTGATGCAGACAGCAGTGAAGAGGCGGAGCAGCTCCGGGAGGCGGTACTTTCTGGGCGTGTCCGTCTGCAGCAGGCGGAGTTAGAGGCGGAGCAATGGAAGGAGGAGTTGAGGAGGCTGCAGACACACAACTGTGAACAAAGTCAACAAATCCAGCAGCTGCGACAGGACAGACAAAACAGTCAGGAGCACAACAACAGGTCAGAGAAACCATATGAACAGCTACAATTTCTGATCACTGTGATCTGTATCTTACTGATAAGTGTGACACATGAATGAAGGCTGAGTAACTGCTGATCTGTGTTCAGACTGCAGCACGAGGTGACTTTACTCCAGCAGCAGTTAGCAGAGAGCAGACAGCTGCTACACTCCCTACAGAGTGAACTACAGCTGTACGACCACGTGTGTGGCGTGAGAAAGAGCGCCGCTGCAGGTGAGACACCGCAAGCACACCGGAATGATCCACCCCACATCCAAAATAAAAAGATGCTGGCTTCGTTTATTTACCCTCATGTTGTTGCAAACCTATATGAGTCTCTTTTTTCTGTGAAACACAACAGATGTATGTAAAAGAGGCCCTTCGCTGCCGCTCGCTAGTCTGATTTGCTGCGGTGCAATATCTATCATCATGTGAAGTGTGAATATGTACATCGGTGATGTTGAATATTGAGCACTAACTGCGGAGGGCAAGATTATCAGCAACTGACAGTTTCCAGTTGCTCAAAACGAATCCGGTATTGATTTTGTCATCCAGTCGGTGCACTGAGGCTGTTGAAAGGCTTGCTCTCTGTTGGCCGCTGCTGTAGGGTTGGTGTGTGAGGTGCGCTGCCCGGCGGTGGAGCTGCGGGAGCTGCTGGTGGAGGTCCGGGCTCTAAGGGCCCAGCTAGAGTGCAGTGTTCAGGAGAACAGTGATCTACGAGCTCAGCTGCAGAAACACCTGGATCAGTCCATCGATCAGCGCCCGTCACCCATCATCCCGGCCAGTCCGCTGCGGGACGTGCTTTACCGCCGACAGCTTCTGCACGGTAACATTTTACACATGCTGATTTCACTTTGAGTGTCTTGTATGTGTCATTTAACAACTAGAAAACATGACGCTCGCGTGTGACGTGTTGGCATGTGCCCTGAGAAGTGCTTGAATATGTCAAGAATTACCTGCTGTTTGCCAGAAATGTGAATGAACGTGATGTTTTTGTAATGTACTAACCGCTCTGCCGTGCTCCACAGACCCGTCTCCTTCTCCTCCTGTCAGAGACGTGGGGCCCCTGTACTCGCCGTACTCCGAGATAGAGGAGAGCGCTGTGAACACTAACGGTGTGTGTCTTTGCTAACCGTGAACTGCTCATATCACTTTCATTATTATTGATATTTTTAATTTTCTGCTGTGAAAAGTGTGCATTGTGAAAAGTGCTATGTAAATATAACTTATATTAATAGGCATGGCTTTAATGAGAACCTGCGCTTGTTTGTGACGAGTTTTAGCAATTCTGGCAGCAGCTCCAGATAAACTTTCCAACTACTTCCTGGCAGAGGTGTAAAGTATTGGAGTAAATGTAATTAGTTACTGTACTTGAGTATCTTTTCGGGTACTTTTGTGTTTTGCCCTTACTCACCCAAACTTGTCAACAAGGCTACTTTATGTGAATGCAAGTTCCTTAGCAAGTATTTGTGAATCGCAGGTGTTTTATATATGGGATGAGGACATGACTGCAGCCGGCAATGAGGCCCAAACCAGCACAGCCACTGCAAGAAGACTTCGGCTTTTTCATTTTACTTAACATTATTTTATTTATCATTATACTGAAGAGACCTTTTTGAAAGATATTATTTTTTGTTTGTTTGTTTGTTTTGTAATTTTGAGGTGTTCAGTTTAATTTTGGTTTTAGAAAATAAACGTGATTGCTCTCCTCACAAATCAACTCTTTCTTGTTTTTGTTTCATGCTGTCTGTGCCTTGCCCTGGACTTTTATGTCACTTCCTGTCTCCCGTGGTGTTTGTAGTCAGTTTGTAGTCCGTAGTCTCCCCAGGTGTGTCTTATCTTGTTCAGCTTGTTATTCCCCTGTGTGTATATATAGCTCTAGTTTGTCTTTAGTTCCTTGTGAGTTGTTGAATGTAATGGTTGTCTGTTTGCCAGTCATTCTGTTCTTTGTTCCCTTTATTGTTTGTTGTAGTTTTTCCATGAAATACCAGCACATAGATCCTTGCCTCTGCCTGTTTTCCGCAGTTTCTCCACAACGTTACAGTTTATCACTGGCGTGTCTCTTTGACTTGTGCATCTTTGATCCTATATTTAGTATAAGTAAAATACTTAAGTACTGTTAAAATCAGATACTCTGAGACTTTTACTCGAGTTGTTTTGGAATTGGTGACTTGTAACGTGTAGTGGAGTAATTTTCACTGTAAGGTATCTGTACTTTTACTCAAGTTAAGTTTTTAGGTACTCATTACACCTCTGCCTCCTGGAACCTGTTGAAGTACTGTACTTCTGGTTGAGAACTAGTTGTTAATGGTACTGTTTGAAAAATGTTCAAGTGCAGTAACTAGTTTGATGAGAAGAACTGAAAACCGTCTTTGCTTCAGACTCACTGGAGCCTCATGCGGATCTGGAAGGAGAAGCTCCAGACGGCTCGTTTGCGAATCGTAACGGGCGGCACGCCATCGGTCACGTGGACGACTACAGCGCCCTGCAGCAGCAGGTGATGGAGGGCCGGGCGCTGGTGCAGCGGATGGAGGCGGCGCTGCGGTCGAGTCTCAGCTCTGCCCTGCTGGAGATCAGCGGAGGAAAGGTGATGCTCAGACGCATGACAGATCAGAGCGCTTGTGCAAACAGCAGTGGTGTCATGTGTTTCTCTCTTACAGGCTCTGGACTACAGTACAGTGAAAACGCTGCTCTCCGACACCAAGACCTTGCGTCAGATTCTGGACGAAGCCGTGTCTCTGCTCAAGATGTTCTGGCGGGCGGCGCTTCCGAGCAGCGACGGTCCCGCTCATCTCATTCAGAGGGTTCGAAGCGCATTTATTGAGCCCTAAAAATCAAATGCAGTGTTAATGTGAATGAACTGAGCTGAATGTGGCGCTGTTTCCTCTCAGGAGCAGTCGATGCGTGAGGAGATCCAGTCGCTGCGTTTGCGGATCGCTGAACAGGAGGATGTTCTTCAGGGAACCATCCAGCGTCTGCGCTGCTCCAACCGAACCAAAGAAAGCATGGAGACCTTCATCGTCAACCAGCGTGAGTCCAGACAGCCTGTTGTCAAGTGTTATTTCACCGTTATTTCTCAGAAGCTGAAACTTGATTATGGCAAACATCGTAATCACAATTAGCTTAGATTTGTTTCAGTAGTTTGAGGTTTGTCAAAGTGAGTTTGGAGTTGTGGTTTTGTGTATTAGCAAAGGTGTTTTAGTCTAATGTCATCAGAGTCTGAGCTGTAAAGAACACGTCTGTCTTATAGTTTCCCGGACGCGAGATGTGCTGAAGAAAGCACGAGTGAATCTAGAGGTGAGTGTTGGTTTGATCTCAGAAAGGTTGTGTTCAGTGCTGTTTGTCTCGTGTTTGTCCCTCATCTTGAATCTCGACCTCCTTCTTTCTTTCTTCTGTCTTTCCTCTATTTCTCTCATTTTCTCTGAGTGTTTCCAGAAGAATGAGCTCAGGATTTCCTCTCTAAGCTCCTCCTCTTCCTCTCTTTGCCATGGTAACGGTCTGGGTTGTGGCGTGTGTTTCAGCTCACGCTGCTTGTGTCGTCATTGCTTGAGCACTTCCTTCTATGAGATCAGTCATGTGACATCAGGGGTCGCTTGAGTTACTCATGATTCGTCCAATCACACACAGGGACGAGATTTATCACACGTGCTGCATCATAAAACAACACTAGTGATGCACCGAAATTAATTTTTTCCTGAAACACAGAAACCAAAATTGTATTTATTTAATATTCAACACTCAAACTGAGTTGCATATAAACATAAATTGCACATAAGGCAGTTTTTATTGTGGTTCTTCTCCAATTCGTTGTTGAAATATCAACATTTAAACAGTGGCTGTATTAAACTTTTCATGACAGATTTATTCAAACGTACATTAAATAATGAAGACAACAGGTTAAGTGAAACTATAATGAATATGTAATACTGTGCATATATTTAACAAAATGCTTCTGTCTAGAGTTTTTTTTTTAGCTGACTATTGAGTTTACGTGTATAGAATGACTTTCCTGAGGTAAATATGGCGTTAATCCAGCACTAACGTCCACACGGTTATCCTGTTGTAGTGAAATAGAGACTGGAAAAGCGCCATCCTAATTAAACATCACCGTTTCGGTCAATGCTTTCCAGCACACAGAACTTGTTCAGCCGAATAAATGAATCATTTCGGTGCATCACTATAAACACTGCAGCATGTGCGTGCTGCATCATAAAACAACACTAGTGATGCACCGAAATTAATTTTTTCCTGAAACACAGAAACCAAAATTGTATTTATTTAATATTCAACACTCAAACTGAGTTGCATATAAACATAAATTGCACATAAGGCAGTTTTTATTGTGGTTCTTCTCCAATTCGTTGTTGAAATATCAACATTTAAACAGTGGCTGTATTAAACTTTTCATGACAGATTTATTCAAACGTACATTAAATAATGAAGACAACAGGTTAAGTGAAACTATAATGAATATGTAATACTGTGCATATATTTAACAAAATGCTTCTGTCTAGAGTTTTTTTTTTAGCTGACTATTGAGTTTACGTGTATAGAATGACTTTCCTGAGGTAAATATGGCGTTAATCCAGCACTAACGTCCACACGGTTATCCTGTTGTAGTGAAATAGAGACTGGAAAAGCACTAATTAAACATCACCGTTTCGGTCAATGCTTTCCAGCACACAGAACTTGTTCAGCCGAATAAATGAATCATTTCGGTGCATCACTATAAACACTGCAGCATGTGTTAACAGACAAATCAACTGATCACACACAGAATATTATTTACAAATGATTCAAAAACATTACAAAATGTTTGAACTGACTCTGTGTGTGTGTGTGTGTGTGTGTGTGTGAGTATTAACCTCAGCAATGCATCTCAGCTTCCCCTGATGTGATTCTGATAATCAAGATTGATTTGGGTCATGTAGGCTCTTTCACTCTTCTGCAGGTAAAGTCTTCACAGGTGCGTCCGCAGGTTCTTCTGCTTGGGGTCGCGTGACCCCTGCATCCTCTGCGATCGCCGTGGAAACAACCGGTCTGCAGCAACCTGCCAAGATGCGTGTCAGGGAGGGACTTCAGCTTTCTGCCCCCCGTTAAACCAGCTGACAACCGGTCAACACCTCTAACTCACCCACCTCACCCTCGTTCTTTCTAAAAATCTTTCTAAAGGAAACATTTGACCTCTTTCCTTTAACAGTAGGCTGTTAAAATCCAGATGCCTATTGATTGCCTGTTTGTGAGAAGACATTTATCTTTTGCCACGAGAAAGAAAACACATTCTTTACTTTCTGAGATATAAACAGACTGCCACAGAATTCCCTCGAGTATCTCAGGGATTTTTGGCAAAAACACTGGTCAGCACGCAAGCCGTTCTGAGCGCTGACCTCTGCTGACACGTGTCATGAGACGAAATGGCAACTAAAGCATGTGAAATAAGTTCATGTGCTTTCATCAAGGGTCATTGTGCCATATATTGAGCCACTGTTAGTATTAGTATGATTGCTGATATTGTCATCATTATCCAGTGCTACTGACTGAAATGGAATGCTGTGTTTAGTATTTGCATGATGCAGGTCGACAAAAATAAAGTACACTTGTTCTTTTGTGAGGTGAGGTTCACCAAACATGCCAAAGTTTGCATGGTTAATTTCTCTTTCTGCCTAAACTGTGCTGTTGATGTCGACTTCTGTATGTACACTGATTTCAAGTAACCCATATTTACTAGCACTATTTTAACAACCTTGTAGGAATTCTGTAGGAGTGCTTTGGGTGTCTTGGCAGTCGCTTATGCCAGAGATATACAAACGTAGCAAATAAATAGGTTTGTGATTTTCTGCATTTGCAAAAATGAATATAAAATTCAAGTTGTCATTGATTTGTGCAGTTATTCCTGTGCAGATATAATCAATGATAGTGTTGAAGATTTCTGAACTAGAGATGGCAAACTTTGGCAGGGATTAGTGGGACCAGAGCTGCTGATGTCACAATCAGAGATGTTTCTTTATTGCTTCTAGATTTGTGCTGTATCATTTCTTTCTGAGCTGTACATAAATGCCTTCCTGTTGTTTTAATTGGGCGGTGTGGGTTAATCTAGTCAACATTTACTATAGAATATGCAACTGTTTTAAAACACGGGTAGCTGTGCAATAGCCGTTTGATCATAATGTGAGACATCATATAGATGAACTTACTGGGTACATTACACCAGTTTATAAACTAGAAGTTGCCTAAAATATTGCAGAGTTGCCTTGCCTCAAATCTCTTGCATAGGATGAAAACATAAGCTTGTAAGTGAATGTTGCTTTGCCTTTGAACAGCCACGTAAGGGATTTCTCTTCAGAGAGAAATGCAATATCAATCGCTCCACAGTATTTAGCCTTCGTATCACTTTATTCAGAACCACAAATGAAGAATAACTGAGGGATTGATGTGATGCAGTAATGTGTTGGATGAAAAACCAAAGCCAGAGGGGGAAAAAGACACTTGAATTCATGTAGAGAGAAAAATAAGCAGCATGTTGGTTCTGAAATCTGTATATGTATATAGTGCTTGAAGGCTCATTTGTTGCCATGGTTACTGATGTTATTGTGCAATATAAAAAAAAGATTGCCGGCACAAGAGCCAATCAATCTCTGTGTCTGAAGCTGATGAAAATGTGCCATGCATTATTACAGCTGCATTTGGAATTTAAACATGAATAAATAGAAATGCATTCATTTTCATTTTGTCTAACGTTGCATAGATGTAAAGTTTGAAATGCGTAAAATAGTTTAAAAAGATTGCCGGCACAAGAGCCAATCAATCTCTGTGTCTGAAGCTGATGAAAATGTGCCATGCATTATTACAGCTGCATTTGGAATTTAAACATGAATAAATAATAGAAATGCATTCATTTTCATTTTGTCTAACGTTGCATAGATGTAAAGTTTTGAAATGCGTAAAATAGTTTGTACACAAAGAAACAGAATCACAATCTAGAACAGTTTGCTTTATTTTTGAAGCAAAACATCCATAATTTATAATGCATAGCTCAACAAATAATTTATCAGTACATATGATAAAAAGAAAAACAATCAAGTTAGTGGACTTTCCTTCAAAATAACCTGTCAAAGCATTTAAAGCTATGCTGTGGTGTTACCGTTATCCCATGAAACTCTTATTTTGGAGAATCTTTCCTTTGGAAAATCACACTTGCATCATATTAAAGTTACCATTAGTATCTTTGGAGTGACTACATCTTCAACGTCAATAAATATTAAACTCACAGCAAACAAATGAAAACCTCAAATATAATCTATATCATCATCATCGTTAAAAAAATCCTGATGTGATCACAAATCACAATTCTGTTTCAGCATTTAATATCGATGACCAGAAATGGTAAAACCAACAAAACCAAACATTTCACACAACAAATATTTAATACAAACATCATACATATTATGGCCAAACATATGTGGATGCCCCATTCTTAATGAACAGGTCTGTCTATTCCAGGAATTCTAGTGAAAATGAATCTTTAGGTTACACATGCAACAACATTCTAGAGAATTCTGTGTTTCCAACATTGTCATGAACCCTTCACAAGCTCCTGAAAGAGACGTGTGTCCAGACACTGCTGCAGAACTAGACTGGCCTGAAAAATCCGACCTGAACACCATTGGAACAAACCAGTTAAGCTCAGGTGTCCACATACCTTTGGCCAATACAGTGTTGAGCATAAAAGTAACATTTTTGACAGACGCAAAAATACATTCCTGCTTGATAAAATAAAGAACGTGTTTGTGTCACCGTGAAACAGCTAAAGTGCTCGTCTGACCGCATCACGGGGAAATTCAAACCACATGCAGGAAAACTCCAGAAAACTCACACAGTTCAAAATCTGTTTGTGCCATTCTGATGCTGTTCCTTTTGATGAAGTCATAACGCAACTCTGCTCAAAGCACATCAATGCCCAGGTGAAAGTATTGAAGTGAATATTTCTGTTAGGAAGGTAAATACTAAATGTCACTGTGTTTGGCTGAAACTTCCTTTCGTTCTGAAAACAGACACAGTTTCTAAAATGCAGTTTGACACTACAAAAGCGTGCAATGAATCATTCCGTTCAAATGTTCATCTGTGTTAAACTCTAAACTTGAACTCACTTTTATTTATGAACACCTTGTGTCTGTAGCAGGTTTCAAATATATGAATCCTGTTTGACAACATTTTATAAACGCTTTGGACAGATAAAACTCTGGCCCTCAAGATTGTAATCGCAAAATGCTGCAGCTAAGACGTTTAGATGTCATTGTATTGAATGTGTGATGACAGGACACACACACACACACACACACACACACACACACGCACGCATACACTCACACAAACACACACACTCACACAAACACACACACACACACTACTGTTGAAGTCTCAAGCTGACAGATCTACTGCATGTATTAATGTGTTAATAGTGCAATCTGGACTATAGAGGATGAGGACAGCACACCATGCATCATCCACAGCTTATTAAATAGGTTTGTACAGAAGAGACGTCACATATTTCTTCTTATAACGATGAGTTGCGCTGAGAACCATCACACCATCCTGAGACAGAATACATTCGATCACAGTTATTTACCATTATATGAGAGCGTTTGTCAGCACACGGCTGCTTTAGAGGTGTTTAATGTACCTTGATGGAGAGCGCGTACAGATGATTGAGCATCACATGGTTGGGTTCTGGCAGCAGGGCAGGATCACACTGAAACACGCAAAACAGACTGCTAAAAGACTCAAGACTGATGTTTATGCATTTAAAAGAGCAAGCTGAAGGAACAAAATAAGTTTTTTTTAAAGTAGAGCTCATGGGTTCAATTCAATGAAATTTTTTATTGAACTGAACGGGCAGAGAAAGAATCTTGATAAAAATAAAAACAACCAAGCAAAGATCATTCATTTCTTGTTGAATGTTTAAAGCGTCATGAAACCGTGTTTTAGCACTGCTCATTCACATCTCAGATTTGAAAAAGACTCATGTAAAGCTGTACAAAAGGGGGAATGTAGAGGGCGGGAAGAGAGGAGACATCAACCCATAAAGCACTTATACAATTATACAGATTAATGAATATTAAAATGTGAGTGAAAAAAATATAGTGTTGCTATCACAACAAAACTTCCATGCATCATATCATAAGATACCACAAGCAACTATCATGAACAAATGCTTTAATACATTGTTCTTAAAAAATGTGGTCTGCTTGACTACGCTCATAAAACCTTGAACCAGTCCAGATATTAACGTCACTGAGTGTTGTCGAACTCCTCGCGACTGCGTGTTGTGATAGAAATGTGTTGGTAGCAAGAAAACACAAACAACACTTCATATTAATGCACTGAAGATAGGACCCATGTCTCTACAAAAACGAGGGTTCAAGACCGTCAAAGTAATACTTTGTCATGCATAATATAGTGCAGTGATTGGATGTTACGAATTCCTTCTCCTAAATAATACAGAGAAAATCTTGGAAACTGATGTTTTCCAGTCAGTCTAGACTCTGGCTGCACGAGTTTAACACACATTTTGTGAAGCAGCATTAACTTTGCTTTTCAAACCAGAAAAACAATGGCTCAGAAAAATGCAAAAATGATAAGTTTCCCCTTATTAATAAACCTAACTGGTGCTATTATTATTGTTTTAGCATCTGTTAACATCTCAAAAATATGGTTTGAGGTTTCATGACTCTTTAATTATGTACTGATACACTATTTTTATTACCATTACTGGCGCATGTTTTTGCCCGGACGCTTTGGCAATACTACTGTACATGTAACAGAGTCGTGGCAGTAAGACAGAGAGGATTCTCACCGATATGTTGGTGTCTTTGTTGAGAATGACTTGTAGGAGGTGAGGCGGCAGGATGGGGGGTGCTTTGAAGCGTTCCTCAGGCTTGAACACGTACACCTCCTGTCTGTACGGCCCAGGCGGAGAGCTGGACAGATCTACACACAACACTGCATCACATTAACACTGGCTTTTTCTGCTGGATCATCCATGACAGCGATTGTACATCCACACATTTGTGTTCTGTTATTCTAACACTGACAGACGGCTCTTACCGGACGTATCAGAGCACTCGAGAGAGTCCACCTGCAGTGCATCAAACACCTCAAAATCTGATTTCTTCACATGGATCAGATTGTTAATGGTGCCCATCTGACTGGTGACAACCGGCTGAAGAGAAAACAGATACATTTCAATTCAAAGGAACGACTTCAGCCAGCCATCATGTGACTCTTCGTTCTGTAAAGCACAACAGATTACGATGGTGATGCATGAGAGGTGAAAAACAGTCCTGCTGAACATCTCTAATGCTGAGAAAAGCATTATGGGTTTGGAGTGACATGAGGCTGAGGGAATGATGAAACGACAGTTTTTATTTAGGGTGAACAGATTAACCAGATCTGCTTCAGTTTCATTTTGTGCTCATTTAAAACCCCAACTGTTGTTTACTCAGACTGTGCTCGTGGTGTTCTCTGATTTAACTGTGTAGCTTTCAGCGGGTCACACATCTTTCAAACTCAAACACACTGTTTTATGATCACACACCAGCAGCACACAGCTTCAGAATCCTGACGCACCACACATGGTTTTCCTCTACATTACATTTGTCCCAAATCATTGATAATGTACACACTGACATCAATCTCTGCTGGAAGATTTGCATTTTTCAGTAAAGCGTTTGTCTTTTTGTGGCTTGGATCTAACCCTCTTTTATTGTCTATTGCCCTCTTATTAGAGCTGCTTTACAGCTGAATTTAATTTAGTTTGCATTATTGAAACACTAGTTTCCTGTTTAACACTGTAAAGCTGCTCTGACAATCTGTATTGTGTAAAGCGCTATAGAAATAAAGCTGACTTGGCTTGACCGTTTCATTATATCATAATACAGATCATACCTTCTCTTTCTGTTTCTTTCATTCACCCAACTTGAGTCTAATTAATTCCACTTTGTTCATTCTTGAAGTGAACTTCTGCCTGTATAGTGATGAGATTCAGTGTTTTAGACGGCTGCCCCTGAGCTTGAGCTTGAGCGTGTGAGAGCAGAATCAATCCTAACCACGACATCATGAGCTGCTTCTCGTCTGTGTGCAACAGACTGTACGCTTACAACCTGCACTGACATCATGTTTGCTTGCCATTTGTCTACATAGTAGCAATACTTACAACAGCAAGCTATGTTCAAAAGTCACGTGACGGTTTAAATGCAGACCGTTGTGCAGATATAGTCACCTCAGAGGGGTCATGAAGCCACTGGCCATCAACAAAGAATTTGTACTGATGTTCACCTTCAGGCAGGTCCAAGATTGCTACAAAATCATTATGGCTCGAAAAAAACAGAAAAACATTTTCACAAACTTAATTCATGAAATAACAACATGCGACCTTCTGTTCATTATGGTTTGCGCTGCAGAAAGACGAGCGCACAGATACCTTTTATTCATGGGGATCTTGCTGCTCCAGTTGTTGAAGGAGCCGGTGATGCAGACCTCCTTGCCTCCTCCGGCCCAGCGGATCACTGTGGGTCGAGCCTGCCGACCCGTCTTCACCATGTCCTCTAGATCCGGAGCCAAGTCCTTCTCGCCCGCGGCCTGCAGAACACAGCTGCTTTTGACTAGAATGATATGACAGCAAACTCTCCAGTAATTCACAGGAGGTCAGCTAATCATTCCTGAGGTCATTTATGAAACAAAGTCTTGATTACTGTTTACATATCAATAGTCTGTTTAACCGTCAGAGAGAGGCTGGAAGATGGTAATGATGACGATAAATAGTAGGGCTGGGTTTTGACACAAATTTCATGATTCTCAGTCACAAGCTTTCGATTCAATATCGGTTATTTTGGATATATATCAGGTACAGTACGTGCCAAAGTTTCTCAAGGAAAAACTCTCAACTAATGCTGTAAAATATACACGAGTCAGCTGGCACTACATTACTATAATACTGAAGGTTAAAATCGTCTGATTTGTTAAAATTATACTTAATGAAGTTTTTAAAATAATAAAGTTACAATTACATATTTCAATTAGTTAAAAAAAATATATAAACATAATGGTGGCTGTCATAAAAACTTGATGGATTTATTCAAACAAATTAAACATTGAAGAACAGTCAGATTTATAATGAATATGTTATATGGTGCATATATTTAGCAAAATGCCCCTCTCTACAGTTTATTTTTCTATCTGATTAATGAGTTTATGGTCACCGAATGTGTTTCTGAGGTAAATGTGACGTGGCATTGTTTATAAGTCGTTATATTGAGGTCTTTGCGCGGCTGAAACACTGATCGAGTGATTACACGAGACCGGAGACGGATTGTAAAGTTGTACTCTTTCTTTAACTTGCCTTCGGATGTTTAGTCATGTTTATTTTGTGCTGAAGCTGGTATTAATGTGGAGGAGATCTGATCAGTTCACTTCTGTTGATCTGAGGCGCTACAGCGATCTGTCACTTCACATTAAACAGCGCCAAAACGACATTTATTGTTTGAATACTGCAATACAATGGACAGAATTTGAAATCTGAGACTTTGTTTCATATTAAGAGTACCAAAGCACAATGCTTACTGCGATTGATTGGATGGGAAGCGCTCTTAAACGTTCCGTCCATTAACTGAAAACGGACTAATCGATTCTTGGGATTTAAGAATCGTTATCGTTCCGTAAAAATGAGAATTGATTAATATTGAGATATCGATATTTTTTACCCAGCCCTAATAAATAGATAATAAAGTATTGGCAAATTCATCAGATGCACATGAGCAGGTGAAGTCATGTGTTTATACAACATTACTTTATTTTAAACGTCATCATGTGTTCTGTTCATACTTTAGACTCTGGCCCGTGTGTGTTGAATATATTGGGGTCGTCGGTGCTGTCCATCAGTTTGCTGGGCTCCAGGTCCCGGTCCCGGGGGGCTCCGCTGTCGGCCCGCTGCGGCTTCGCTCCGGGTCTCTCTGCAGACACTCGATCGCTGGTGTTTCCCATGATGCAGCAGATTCCTCTAACCCAGCCTTCACCACAGACACAAGCAAACATCAGGAGTGCGCTTTACTGATGCTACTGCAAACACTTCAACTGATGAACAGCCATTCAGAAAACTCAGAATGGCCCTTCACAAGAACTTGCTCGCGTCTACAGAAGCACTCATGTGAAGGATTAACATTAAACTTGTGCTCACGAAAACACCCTCCATCAGACTCATGCTGATATTTAAAGAGGCATCAGTAAACTGAATATAAATATTATTAAAAGACAAAATTCTGATGCACTGTGCTGTTTACACTTTTAGGAACATTTATTACTTATAATCTTTCTACTTTCTACTCTTTAGCTTTATATTTTGACACATTATTGTCAGTTTGTCAGCATGGCGAGCACAGCTAGAGCTGCTGTGTTTCTAGAGACTCAGAGATAAAGAAACTCAGACACCGTCACTGCTGTGTGACCAAACACACCGCTGTTAAACGCTTACAAGAGGAGTCTGTTTAGTTATATTCAGATGTTGTTTCTATATGTGACAAGTGTTTGCTAGCTGTTAGCATGCTGATTAATCGATCATTCACGTTCAGAAGAAACTATCATAACATGAACCGCATGTGTTAATAGTGCTTGCAGCAAAGTAAAAATGTAAAAAGTGCGATCAGTATTTATTACCGCAGATGAATAACAATGAATATTATTTCCCGCGCTGTGAAGGACTGCACTTTCTCTCTCTCTCTCTGGTTTTAATGGCGGGTCACAACCAGCGTGTTCCGGTGCATACCGCCACCTACTGTACCGGAGTGTGCCGCTTCTTCTTCTTGTACAATTTAATGGCGGTAGACAAGCCAACTTATGGTGTATTACCGCCACCAGCTGGACTGGAGTGTGAAGCATTAACACGAAATAGGCAATCCTGAGGCACAATTTAAAAGATTTGATATAGTGAAATTAATTACTCCTATGTTTCTCAGTTTCTTAAATAACTCCTCTCTTTCTTTGGTATATACTGCACAATGTAGAAGTACAGGGACATGCAGACATTTTGAGGGGCAGGGGCTGAAGTGGAAAAAAGGGCACTTCTCATATTTTTTTTTTTTTAATTCTAAACAAAACATTAAATATATTAGAGATGTGCAATATTGTATGTATCTCAATATTTTCTGGTATTTGATCGATAACAATAATTAGATGATATTGTGCTGAGTGTGTTATTGTGCTGATATCTTAAGGACTGCGGTGGACAGCTGACTCCTGAAGTGCTTGATATTCTTCATATTCTGTGTGCTGGTCACTTCACAGCAGTGAGAGAAATTAATCTCTCCCAATAAGTTTTAATCGATTTGTACCTTTTATGAGCATTTTTACCTTTTATAAAGCCATTTTTCTAAAAGTGTGCATCATCATCTTTTCAGTTAAACTCTTAAATTGAATCAGTCCATTAGAATAATAAGTCATGTGGGCTGTTACCAAGCAAAATAAATGAGTATTAAACTGAATCTTTGCAGTGCAGAGGAAACACAGCAGCTGCGTCTGAAGAGGCGTTTAGATGCGTTTACACACTGTTTAATGCAGGACAGGAATGTGTTTAAACTGCAGTTACACATGCATTCATACGGTTTCCATATTTTAAACATAAAACGTTGAATACTGACATTTGAAATTATTTAAGAAAATGCAAAGATGCTTTAAATGTGAAATGAAAGCCGCCAGCAGGTGGCAGCAAGTCACTGTTAATAAGCGAGTCACTGCGACTGAACCGAATCATGTAAACGCTTGATTCATTCAGGAACCAAACTCTGTCCTGTTGCTCAGAGACGCACATTGAAATTATATTTGTTGGCGAAATAGAGCAAAAACAGTCAATATTGTGTCAAAACGTAAGTGTCGTAATACTGATTTCTTCTTTATTGAACTGCTGTATAAAATCAATATCACATTTGTAATCATGCGGCTTTTTGGTGGAAAAAACGTCAGTCTTCGCGTGATACTGATTAACTATATGAAATGATATAAATATATACATTTCTGCCCCCATATCTTGAATTTTGTGATCATTCTAAATGCATTTGAATAAACAATCATGCAGGGAAAGAACCTGCACTGCTCTAACCTACTAGATTTCCTATTGCCTTAGCTAAACTTTAAGTAACTTGGTAGCTCTCATGAGTCATGGATAGGATAATTAGCTGTAAATTCGAGGCACAGGTAGCTTAGTCTTTTGTTCATCAACACTCACCTCCACAGCAAGACAGACACAGCTGGAGAGAGAGGAGGGCTTCACTTCTGCAATCTGCGACTTTCTGCATGTCTGTGACTTGGTGTGCAGCTGATCAAATGTGCGCCACACTGCTGTGGTGCGGAGGCGCAGAGGGAGAATGACATCAGAACTCGATACTCGACAGTCTCAACATTTCCTGACCCGACCTGATATTTTGATATTTTATTTGTTTGCCAGGACAGCTGAGCGTAAACAGAAACAAACACACACACGCACACATATATTAATTTATTATATATTAAAAAAAAACTCCCCAGAAAAAAAGGGCACTTTCTCTCGAGGAAGAAAAAGGGCAGGTGCTAAAGCCCCCTTTGATGTCTATGTGTGCACGTTCCTGTAGAAGTACATGCTCAATAGTCTCTGCTACACTACACGTAGTACATAATCCTGACTGATGTTTCGCTATTGTGAATAATGAATGATTTAAACCAGAATGTGCTATTCGAAGGCGAGTAATTATTATGTCTTCTTTTCTATTGTTAAAGCATATTCTCTCTTTGCCAACTTGTTTTTGGATATTGTATAGGTGTCTGCCCTTTAAATCCTTGTCCCACATTTCCTGCCACTTTTTATTAATGTGTTCTTTAATTCTTCTTTTTATTTCTACTTTACTCAGTGGAATTTGTACCTCAACATTCTACTATTAGACTATTTAATTTCCTAATACTCCTACATGTGCAGGTACCCATAGGAACCTCAGGAATAAACAAATTTCCTGAATCCTAAGAAGATTTATAAGTACTTCATAGATTAAATCCTTTCTTGATGTTGATTGTTCACTTATTAAACTATTTAAAGCTGACAAGGAATCTGAACAAATGACTACCCTTTTAGGCTTAACTTCCTCCACCCATTGAATAGCTAATAAAATTGCTATTAGCTCTGTTGTAAAGACTGGTACATAATTAGTTATCCTTTTCTGAATGTTGACTTGTAATCTTCGGATATATACAGCTGCAGCTGACTTTCCTGATGTAGGATCTTTAGAACCATCTGTGAAGATATGGAGCATTGAAGAGTAATTTTGATCTAGATATTGTTGAACAACAACCTCCTTAGATAACATTTTCTCATTCTTAACCATATATTGTAGAGCATATATTGTGTATTGTATCTTGTAAAGGCATAGGAAGCAACCAAGGAGGAATATTCGGAATTACAACAGAGGGACTAACTGAGATTTCTGTAATACCCAAAACTGTAGCCTCTCTAGTTGCTGTCCAACCAAAATGTTTTATTTTATTTGTCCCATATTCCCAGCATTCAATATGTCCTTTACTGGATGTAATTCTGAATGCCCTTTTACATTTATCCAATAATTCATAGTTAATTTCAATTTTCGTAAAGTTATAGGCATTTCTCCCACCTTATTAGGATTTAGATGCAGATCCATAAATTATGTATCCATAATCAATTGCTGACCAAGTCAGTGCACTATATATTCTTTGTAAAGATTTCCTACTAGCTCCCCATTCCATTCCTGTGAAACATTGTAGTACATTATTACTTTTTTTGCACTTATCTACTGTTATGTCTCCCTAATTATCTGGCGTCTTGGGTTTTTGGGAGGTCTCTGCTATGGAGGTGCGGTGTGTGCAATTAAGAAGCAGGCAGAGACAAAACTGAATATGAATTTTGCGTTTAGTAGAGAAATAAGTCAATATTACTGTAATAGATCGGCCAGGCTCCACCACCACCCAATCACAACGATCCCTATCACCTGAGTACTGAGCACCTGCACCTGTCACCAATCAAGCACCTAATCATCAGCCTGCATAAAAGCACATACCTCAGACACCCCCATTGTCCGGTCTCGTGTACACGTAGAGGACTCAATGACTTTGTTACTGCTGCCATTTGAATACTTCCTGCATTACTTGCCTCCTGTGTTCCTCCTAGTGTTTCCTCATCTCCAAGTGTCTCCTGTTCCTCCTAGTTCCCAGATCGCTAAGGTGTGTGCTCCTCCTGTGTGCATTCCAGCTCCTGTAAAGCCAAAGACTCTGATTATTCCATTCATCATATCCTTTGAACTGCTCTATGAACTATTCACTCACCATATCATCATCTGGATCCTACACCCATACTCTCTGTGACCTAATAAAACTGTTTAGAACTTCATGGTGCATTTTCGCTCATGGGTACCTAGGACCGACATATTGGACCCTGCCTTAATGTCTGAGTTCCATACTTCCTGCATTACTTGCCTCCTGTGTTCTTCCTAGTTCCCGGATCGCTGAGGTGTGTGTGCTCCTCCTGTGTGCATTCCAGCTCCTGTAAAGACAAAGACTCTGATTATTCCACTCATCATATCCTTTGACCTGTTCCATGAACTATTCACTCACCATATCATCATCATCATCATCATCATCATCATCATCATCATCTGGATCCTACACCCGTACTCTCTGTGACCTAATAAAACTGTTTGTAAATACTAACCTGTTGCGTCAGACCTCTTCCGTTACAATTACAATGCTCCCAATAATAATACAAACAAATAGGGATGTAACAATTAACCGCGAGCCGGTTGAAAATCGATTTAAATATGTGACGATTCAAATCGGTTGAGATGCTAAACAAATCGCGATTCAATTAGGGGTAGGAGATAGTTTCACAAAACTGAAGTCAAACCATTCTGTTGTTGCTTCAAATTTCGAAATTATACAATCTAATTTATATTAAAAACTGCTCATGTTGCATGTATGCAGCATCTTTGTTTGGATCATGATTAAAATGCAGTGGTTGCCTCTAATTTTAAATAGAAAGAGCACAGACAAAGCCTTAGTTTGTTAATATGAAGTGATTTCTTTTATTTGTGTTATTTATTTGATTTGGGGCTTGTTTTACAATTTCAATTTAGTTTGGTTATTTACATTTACATTATATTTAAATTTTGTTATTTAGCAAACACTTTTATTCAAAGTGACTAGAAGCAATCAAAACCAACAAAAGAGCAATAATTTACAAGTGCTATATTAGTATATTATTATAGTGTTATATTTCAATTTCACAAAGAAACGTACAGTATTTATAAAAGGACACATTTAATTTCTAATTTGTCTTAAATCTAATTTTGTAAAAAAAAAAAATAATAATAATTTGGGAATTGAATCGTAAGTTGAGTGAATCGTTACATCCCTACAAACAAACCCAAAATACCTTCGAAAAACCCAACAAATATCTATTTACGAATTATATACAAACATAATAAATGAAAGACAACAAAAGTAAGGGACAAGAGTGGTGCTAAAGAAAAGAAAAGAATAAAACAAACACGCTAACTAGCACCAATCAAAGCTAAACAAAAGAAATGAAAGAAAATAACATCTTCAGTGTAGAACGCCACTAATTTCACTGACTAACAAACATAAATACAGAGGTTGGCATCCGCTCGTAAATTAGTGTGTTTAGACAACTTTACCCTGCGTGTAGTAAGATGTAAGTCACGTGACATGCTGCACTGGTCCCATCACTAAATGTCAAACAAGGAGTGAGGTGTGTGA